CCTTGTGTTATTGTCATGTGTTCTGTTGAGGTTGGTAAGGAGGCGTTTGAGGGGAGGGTTTATATCCGAGTTAAGTGTTCTATATATGTAGTAGGTACAATAATAAGTATGGATGTTTTGTATGGTGAGTAGGTTTAGAGTTTTCAATATTGGTGGAGTGTGCTGCCTGTAGTGGGAATTTGTTATCATTTTGACTTCGTTCTTATGTTCTTATATCGTCACATATTCCATTAAAGGTTCAGCAGCTGGGAGCTTCAAAGTTTTGTTCCGTCATATAGTTACTATTCAGAAGAATATAAGGCCGGAGACAGTAGAAGTAACTAAGGTTCGGCCGCATGCTTGTATCCACCTAGATAAAATTTTGTTCGGATGATTAACCCAAGAGGACTGTCTGTCTGATTTCCATTTGGGTCCTCAATCTTGTCCCACAGAATGCGACCCACACCATTCGAGTAGTTCATTACCTTTGTAAATTGTGAGTTCATTACCTCTGTAACTTGCTCAGCTATCAAAACTTTGGAGTCCAGTCCCTGGACCAATTATGTACCTCTGTAATCTTTTGACTACCGCCCACAGGATGGGTATGGGGTGCATAATAAACATATTAAACTAACTAACTGGCCTACCTGGCAAAGCTCTCGCTTCACACACGGAGGGCCCGGGTTCGATTCATGGCGCTGTGAAAACATTTCGACGCGTTTCCTTACACCTGTTGTCCTGTTCACCTAGCAGCAAATAGGCACCTGTGTGATAGTCGTCCGGTGTGAGTCGTATCCTGGGGGACAAGCTTGAGGACCCCAATGGAAATAAGATAGTTCTCGATGACGCACTGCCTTTCTTGTGTTATCCTGGGTAGCTAACCTTCCGGGGTTAAAAATCCGAACGATATCTTATCTTACCCTTGCCGAGGGTGTTAACACACAAGTACAATTATCATACATATTTATTTATTTATTTATTTATTTAGAAATTTTAGCATACATACAGAGGTACAAAAAAATACAGGTAAGAGCAGCATGCCAAAGCCACTTATATGCATAGCATTACGGGCTGGCTTAAAATTAACTTAAGATTAACTAAGCAATGATGAAATCAGTGATAAGACATTATTGTAAACAGATAACTATAAAATACAAATGAGTATTACAAAGACAGGTCATATGGTTGCATGCATTGCTGTTCATTCAGTAGAATTTTATTTTTTTTTTATTTATTTATTTATTTATTACAATTTGAGCACACATACAGAGGTATTCTGTTAGGTATTCTGTTAGGTAGTGTATTTAAAAAAAAATAACAAAGTTAGGTTTAACATTTGTGTGATATAATTGTGAGTAACATTTAGGATATACAATTTATATGGTTCAATTATTCAGTATTTATTTGGTTCTGAGTGAGTAAGTGAACTTTGAGAAGAGACTTGAATTTATAAACAGGTAGTGTTTCTTTTATATTTACAGGTAATGAATTCCAGATTTTAGGGCCTTTTATGTGCATTGAGTTTTTGCATAGCGTGAGATGGACACGAGGAACATCAAAGAGTGATCTGTGCCTTGTATTATGGTCATGTGTTCTGTTGAGGTTGGCAAGATGTTTGAGGGGAGGGTTAATATCAGAGTTAAGTGTTCTATGTATGTAATAAGTGCAATAATAAGTATGGATGTTTTGTATGGTGAGTAGGTTGAGTGTTTTGAATATTGGTGGAGTGTGCTGCCTGTAGTAGAAATTTGTTATCATTCTAACTGCAGCCTTTTGTTGGGTAATTAGTGGTCTGAGATGGTTAGTTGTTGTTGAGCCCCATGCACAAATTCCATAGGTGAGATAGGGGTAAATAAGAGAGTGATAAAGGGCCAGGAGGGCTGACTGTGGAACATAGTACCGTATCTTCGATAGTATGCCTACAGTCTTGGAAATTTTCTTAGAAATTTGTTGTATATGTGTATGAAATTTGAGTCTATTATCGAGGTGGATTCCTAAGAATTTTCCCTCTGTTAGCTTTGTGATAGGTGATCCGTTTATCGTTATGTTTTAAAAGGTACAAACTGTAGCTCTGCTACCAAACTGAATGAAGTAGGTTTTGTCAATGTTTAGTGTAAGTTTGTTAGTCCTCATCCAGGTAGATATTTTCTGTAATTCGGGTTTACAGTATTGGCTAGCGTGACTGGGCTCGGTGAGAGAAGACGTATGTGGTGTCATCTGCAAAAAGTGTGGGTTTGAGTAATTGCGAAGCATTTGGGAGGTCATTTTTGTATAGGAGAAAGAGAAGAGGGCCAAGGACACTTCCCTGTGGGACACCAACTGTAATTGGTTGTGCGGAAGAGCTTGCCCCATTTGCGTACACATATTTGGCTTCTGTTGCTGAGGTAAGACTTGAGGTAGTTGAGGGAGTGCCGTCTAATACCATAGTGTGACAATTTTACGTGGAGCAAGTCATGGTCAACTGTATCAAAAGCTTTATGTAAGTCAATGAAGATCCCCAGTGGGACTTCTTTTTTCTCTATTGCAGTGTATATATGTTCTAGCATGTGTATAATAGCATCATTAGTATTTTTATTAGGCCTGAATCCAAATTGGCAGGGTTGAGAATGTTATGGGAGATGAGGTAGGAGTAGATTCGTTTATGAATTAATTTTTCGAAGATTTTTGAGAGAGGGTGTAAATTGGATATATGGCCTATAGTTATTCAACTCTGGTCTCCTCCTTTATGGATCGGGGTGACCCTTGCTATTTTGAGAACTGTAGGGAAGGTGGAGGATTCAATGGATTTGTTAAAGAGTGTTGCAATGATTGTGATAGTACTTGTGACGCTTTTTTGTATATAAAGGGTGTAAGGTATTTAAATCTCCTGCCTTGTTTTTCAGTGCGTTGATAATAAGGAGAACTTCGTATGGGTTAGTCGGAGCTAGGAACAGTGTGTTCGGTAGTTGCCAGTGAGGTAGTCATTTGGTGGGGTATCTGAGCTTGGGATATTATTGGCAAGGTTTTGACCTATAGTGGAGAAGAAATCATTGAGTCTGTTTGCTGTTTCTGTTGGTGGGAGTTGGGGTTCATCTGATTTTGCCTAATTTTATTTCGCTATGTCGTGATATCTTTTTTGTTCCCAGAATTTCTGATAGGGTCTTCCAGGTCTTTTTATATCACCTCGTAAGTTGGATAATCTGTTCTCATAATACAATTTTTTTGCCCTTCTTATCAGGCTGGTTAGGATTGACGAGTAACGTTTTGTTTGGTCTCTGGTTATGTGACCCATTCTGTACTGTTTTTCATATCGGTGTTTTGTATTTATGGATTTGAGAATGCTGGGTGTTAGCCAGGGACTGTTCAGTCTCTTAGCTGTCATCTGTTTAGTTTTTTTTAGGGCAGTGCTTGTTATAAAGGTATTGGGTCTTTTTTAGAAAATTATTAAAACATGCGTCAATATCTGTAAAGATTTCTAGCTCAGTGTGCCAGTCAATGTTTGTTACTGCTGTTGTGAAGTTATTAATGGCTGCCTCATTGTGAAGTCTGAAGGTGACTTTAGTAGTGTCTTGGGGTATTTTACCAAGAGTTGTTATGAGGAAAGTAGGGTAGTGGTCTGTGGTATTATCTGTAATTATGCCTGATTTTAAAGAGGATATGGTGTTGGTCCAGATGTGGTCAAGTAGGGAAACACTAGTCTCTATAACTCTTGTAGGTTTTGTTACTGTTGGTAGCAACATGCAGTTACTCATTGTGTTTGTGAATTCAGTAACGTGTGGGTCCTGATCTTGCAGGAGATTTATATTGAAGTCACCTGAGAGTAGTAAGTGATCTTTGTTCATGCGTGCATCAGTTATCATACTTCCTAGGTTTTGACTAAATTGGCTAATGTTTGATTGTGGAATTCTGTAGATGTTTATCACTGTGAGAGGTTTTTGTAGGTATTTGGATTTGAATTTAGCTATTATATATTCCCCATGTTCATCCCTTGTGCAAGTATTAGTGATACATTCTAGTTGGTCTGAGTAGTATATAGCTGTGCCACCCCCTTGTTGGTCTGGCCTACAGTTGTGTATGGCTGTGTAACCAGGAATGGCATAGAGATCTGTAATATCAGGCTTTAGCCAGGTTTCAGTTAGTGTAATGATGGACATATTGGCATGCAAGGAATTTAGTAATGCTAGGAGGTCATCATAATGCTTGCTTAAAGATCTGATATTGTAGTTAAAGATAGTTATGTTGTTGTTGGCTCTGAGAAGTGCCTTTGATTGTTCTGCTGTGTAGTAATTACAGTAACTGTTTGAATCATTTAAGTCATTAAATAAGAGGTTGGTACATAGTAACACATGCTTAACAATGTCCAAACAGGTGAATTTATTTACAAGCATTATCTCTCAGTTCACAGCAGGATTCGAACTTGCAAACTCGGTATCAGCATACACAGTACGTACTTTATTCACACAGCCAGACTCCAGAGTAACATACGTATAAATTACCTGGGATACCCAAAAAGTCAGACACCTGTAGGTGGTTACAGGGGTCGATTCTACCTGTGTTATATTCTGAATTCTTTAACTTTATGGTATTGTGCACCACAGTGTCCAGTGGCCCGATTACCAGCTCACACCCTAAGGTCCGGGGGTCGATCCCGGTACGGCTGAAAATATTAGGACGTGTTTCCTTAAGGCACCTGCTATCCATGTTCACCTATCAGTAAAATAGGTACCTGGGTGTTAGTCGACTGGTGTGGGTCGCATCCTGGGACAAAATTGACCTAATTTGCCCGAAATGCTCTACATAACAAGGAACTTTCTGTATAGTAGTGTCAGCTAGGCCTGTGTACTTTGTGCTTTTAGAAATAAAAATTATTATTAAGTAAGTTCTAGGACTAGTTTGATCAAAATGCTATATATAAGTGGCTCTGCTTTGGACATTCACTTGAATCAAATTGCCCTTTCACTACAATTCTTTCAAGCTGTAACCAAAAAGATAGTGTGAACTTCCATGTAACTTCTATATAAGTTAATTGAGAAATAAAATTGTCATTTTAGTTTATCATAATTTGAAGTTGGCGCCGTAGATGGTGGTGACATCTGTCGGCGGCGAGAGTAAACCTCCTTCTTTAGTCCAGCCAGAGATATCTCGGCTCGTGTGAATGTGAGTAAAGTGATCAACATCCAACTAATCCAGCACAATGGTGAGCTCCTGTCTCATATTTCTATGTTCATGTTGTAAAGGTATTGTTTGGCATTGCGGGTTATGTGCTGGTGGCCGCCCGGTGTTGTACTTTGGATGATATATGAAATTTAAATGTGGTGATTGTGTTTTGGTAACGTAAACAAACTACTAAGTTGGTCTTACTACTAATAAATAATAATTTATACTACTACTACTCATAATAATAATAATAGTAATAATAATAATAATCTTTATTTCTAAAAAGTATATTATATAGTTGAATGAGACAAAAGTCTTGGTTGACGAGACGTCTCCATAAATTGTCATATTGTCTTATTCATATACTTGTAAATATGTTTAACCATTGATAAATATCATGTAGGGAACGTTCTTGTTACTTTGATTTTTTTTTTTGTAAGCAAAAACATGGATATATTCTAAGTTGTCATATGGTTGTGTGTATTGTTCTACCATGTCAAATATTTATAAATTAAGTATATATTGTACTGTAATAACATATCCCCTGAAGGGAGGTTCCTTGATGCTGGTGAAGAGCTCTTGATCCTTCGAATTGGACTTGTCCCATCTCTTCCTTGGACACACTAATTGATTTCCATTCCCCAAGCGCTGTGTGGCTCTTACAGGTTTAGGGCTTTCCTCTAAATATAATAGCAATAGAAGCATACAGCAGACCTCCTAGCCCATGCTAGGTGGGTCTAACTCAGGCCTACCCCACACCCACTTATGTACTTGTCTAACCTATTATTAAAGTTACCCAGGATTTTTTCTTCAGTGATGCTACTCGGGAATTAATTCCACTCAGACAAATCTTACAAAACCAGTGCATGACAGACTGAATAGCTCACAGCTCATGCCCATTATAGTTCATGTACAGTCCAGTGTACCCTCTACTTCATTGCAGTGCCATTAATTTGTGCAATTAATAGTGCTATTCCTACTCTGTTGTTGATACTACTTGTACAAGAATGGTATACAATACCAATAAAATGAAGATTTAGACATGTGCAACGTCTGGGTATCTTTATTATAAACATTTTGCCAGCCAGTGGCTTTATCAATACAGATTCTAGGACATAATTTGAAGACAGTAGAAATATAGTGATATATATGTAGTTACACTGTCTTCATGTTATGTTCTAGAATCACTGGATGGCAAAACGTCTACAGTAAAGATACCCAGGTGTTGCACGTGTCTAAATCTTGATGCTACTTCATTATCCTGTGGCTCAGTAGGCAACACCTCACATACTGAGTGTCTGTGGTTCAGTTCCTGACAGGTGGAAACATTGGTCATGTTTCTTACACCTAGCAGTAAGTAGGTGCCTGGGTGTCAGTTGACTGGTGTGGGTTGTATCCTTGGAGACAAGATTGAAGGACCCCAATGGAAATAAGACAGCCCTCAATGATACACTGATTTTCTTGGATTATCCTGGGTGGCTAACCCTCTGGGTTAAAAATAAGAACATAAGAAAGAAAGAACACTGCGGCAGGCCTACTGGCCCATGCAAAGCAGGTCCAAGTCTCCTACTGGCTTAAGCCAATGACCCAACCTAGTCAGGTCAGGTCACATCCACTTAAGGAAGGAAGCACGACTTCAGACCTATTAGTACAGGCTAATCAGATCCAACTCACACCCACCCACACCCATTCATGTATTTATCTAACCTATTTTTAAAACTACACAACGTTTTAGCTTCTATGACGGTACTCGAGAGAGTGTTCCACTCATCCACAACTCTATTACCATATCATTGCTTTCCTATATCCTTTCTGAATCTGAATTTTTCATCTTAAAACCATTGCTGCAAGTCCTGTCTTGGCTAGATAATTTTAGCACGCTATTTACATTCCCTTATTCCTGTTTTCCATTTATACACCTCAATCATATCCCTGCTAATTCTGTGCCTTTCTAGAGAGTGCAGATTCAGGGCCTTCAGTTTATCTTCATAGGGAAGATTTTTGATACATGAGATCAACTTTGTCATCTTCCTTTGTATGTTTTCCAGTGCATTTATATCCATTTTGTAATACATTGGCCAAAACTGTGCAGCATAATCTAAATGAGGCCTAACCAAGGAGTTGAAGAACAACCTGAGGATTCCTATTATTTATGTTTCTTGATATGAAGCCAAGGATTCTGTTCACTTTATTGCGAACACTGATGCACTGTTGTCTTGGTTTTAGATTACTGCTAACCAGAACTCCTAAATCCTTTTTGCAATCAGTACTATTAAATTCTACATTATTTAGTTTATATGTGGCATGGTTATTTTCCTGTCCAATGTTTAAAACTTTGCATTTCTGTATTAAACTGCATCTACCACTTCTCTGACCACTGCATCAATCTATTCAAATCTTCCTGGAGTGCTTTAATGTCCTTGTCAGAATGAATTCAACAGCCTATTTTGGCAAACTTGCTTATGTCGCTATTTATTCCCTCATCTGTGTCGTTTATGTAGGTTGTGAACAAGGGGCCCAGCACTGACCCCTGTGGAACACTGCCCGTGGCACTTCTCCACTCTAATTTCTCCCCATTTGTGCAAACTCTCTGCTGCCTATCTGTCAACTACGCCTCTTTCCAGGAAAAAATTTCTCCTGTTCCATGTGCCTTGATTTTCCTCAGTAGTCTCTGTTGTGGGACTCTATCAAAAGCCTTACTGAAGTCCATATACACAATATCATATTCATTACCATGATTGGCCTCCTCAAATACCTTAGTAAAAAAAAGTTAATAAATTCGTAAGACAGGAACTCTCCTTTGTAAAACTGTGCTGAGATTCTTTAATCAATTTATTCCTTTCAAACTGCATCTTATCTTAACTTGCATTGTTTATATTTGCATAATTTTTTTCTTATTTTGTTGTATGGGTAACTTTATCACAGACCTGTACTCGGAACATTTTTCTTATTTTGTGTTATAAGTTACTTTACCATAGACATGTACTCTGAATGTTATCCTTATTTTCAGAACCGATTTTTGCATCTTCATATTGTTGATGAGTATGCCTTGTGAAATGCCTGAGCTCTAATGAAATTCAGACAGTTAAAAGAATGAGTACATGTAGCTACAAAATGGTTAAATTAATACTGTACAGTGTTTGTGGTTGGGATTGATATGTGATGTTGAAGGTTGGGGATTTTGGAATGTTGATACAGCTTAATTAGTTGATGCAGTGGAGTGCTTGGATATTTTGTCATATGCTGCTGGTTAGTTTTATGCTGCATTTCTTTATAAAGCCCTCTGCATATTTTAAACCTATTAAACCATCCAGACAGTTAAAAGAATGAGTACATGTTGCTACAAAATGGTTAAATTAATACTGTACAGTGTTTGTGGTTGGGATTGATATGTGATGTTGAAGGTTGGGGATTTTGGGATGTTGATACAGCTTCATTAGTTGATGCAGTGGAGTGCTTGGGTATTTTGTCATATGCTGCTGGTTAGTTTTATGCCCTCTGCGTATTTTAAACCTATTAAACCATCCAGAACTAAATGTGCATTTCGTTTTTGGGGTGTTCTTCATCCTCTCACAGATTTTGTCACATTGAGGATAACTCATTGCACAAGCCTTTTTACCTCGGTCTCATTTTCTCGAATAAATCGTTGATTTTGTAATACCAAAGACTTGTGGCATCTCTGAGGCATGCATCACCCCTCAGCATCACAATTGCCTCTAGTTTTTTTCAAAATAGGCATAATTTGACAGTTTTCTTTCTTGCTTAACCAGCATCACCTGCACCTCATTTGGATGCCAAGATAAATAACCTAGAGATGATTGGGTGCCATGATAGAGGTCCAGAGACAAGATGGGGTGATGAAAGGAAGGAAAAACTGAGCAAAACTCATCCGGTACACATCCAGATACAGTAACCTACATAGGAGGCTGTTTATTTATATCCGTTCATCCTCCCCTGCACTGCTAAAACAGTATAGTTGCCTGCCTGCCATGGTACTCCTTAACAGAAATACATGCTACCAGTGGACATGAATTCCACTCTGGCATTCCTTAACCCTTAAACTGTCCAAACGTAGATTTATGTTCACTCTCATAGCGTTCCGAATGTAGATCTGCATTTTTTTTTACATAAGAAAGCATGTAAAATCGAACGTAGATCTACATTTGGAGTGCTAGGTGAGTGAACGTAGATCTGCGTTTGGACAGTTTAAGGGCTAATGGGTATGGCACTCTTATTGGAAATGAAAGCATAACTATTGAAAATGTGAGCAATGATCGCATGACATGATTGTCTGCTGTGCTAAAAAAAAATCCTCAGCATGTTTAGGAGCGTGTGGATGGTGAATTCACGGATACTGAACTTGCATTTAGAGTAATATGGAGGGTTGTAATCTAGATCTCAGCCCATATACTTGATCTAGATGTCAGCCCACATTTCTTTTATTCTTTTGATATTTTCGGTCACCTTTGATAAGTTTCAAGAGCTTTCCTCTTCCCCGAGCCCAGCCTTGGGCCAGGTTCGTAAATTATTACTTATGGTATACAATACTTTTCTGGTTATTAATAATTGTACAGTCACTGAGTGTTTATATCCCTCTTGCATTTTGCAAATGTCAGGTGTGCCAGGTCAAGCTACTGTACTTTAAATTGTTGGTTGCAACTCTGTATGTGGAACATATTTATATTAGTGTGGTGAGTGGGTTTATATTAGTCTGGTCAATAGATAAGGTATGCATCATGTCTTCATATAAAACTAATTCATTACAAGTCTAATAATGTGTTAATAATTAAATTCTTTTTAATATTCTCAAGGGTCGTGTACGTACCAAGACAGTGAAGAAGGCTGCTCGTGTCATCATTGAGAAATATTACACCCGCCTGGGCAGTGATTTTCACACAAATAAGCGAATTTGTGAGGAGATAGCAATTATCCCTTCGAAGCCTCTTCGCAACAAGATTGCAGGGTTAGTACGTCTTGTATGAAAAGTATGTATGTATAGTGTGTACATACTTATGTACGTATATACTGTTTCCTTGTTTGCCAGCTTTAGAACTACTGTAGGTTTTTGTATATTCCGTGCCTTCAGAAACTAACAAATTGTTGGAACTTTACATTCTTCTAGCCCAACAAATTAAGGTTTCTTAGTTATTCTTTATGGTGAAAGATTTTCAAATACTCGGGATTATCTTAAGCATCCTTTACATTCTTAAAAGGAAATTAAGGTTCTTTATGACTTAGAGGTTTAGTATATAGCTTTTGAATGACAGTAGTCAATTATATATAAATACTTCATTATCAAAGCAGTTCCACAACATCCTGATAAAATTGAATACTAGACCAATATTTACAGTTCATTACTGAAGCTTCTGTACTATAAGTTATAGTAATGTACTTTAATGCCTTTGTTGTGTGTGTGCATGTACTGTATTCTTAAACTTTATAGGTCGACTGTCATTGGCCATTTTTAAACAAATTTTGTGCCCCATCTTCTCAGGCTTAGAACTCCACCTGTTTACATTGAACTTCTGATTTTTATTTTCTATCTGAAGTATGTTTTGACCTTTTAGTAATCTTGATTCTGAATTTTTGCAATATGGTTGGTAGACAAGCTAACTTGTGTGATGCTTTAATGCAGGTTTGTTACCCACTTGATGAAACGTATCCAACGTGGACCAGTGCGTGGGATATCCATTAAGTTGCAGGAGGAGGAGCGCGAGCGCCGTGACAACTATGTGCCCGAGGTTTCTGCTTTAGAACAGGGTATCATAGAAGTTGATGCTGACACAAAGGAGATGCTTAAATTGATGGTAAGTACAGTCTAGCAGTTTTTATGCTTCATTAACCCTTTCAGGACCCAGACCCCAGATCTAAAACTTGTTCACAGGGTGCAAGAATTTTCAAAGAAAATTGTTATTTTTCTTATGAAATAGTAGTTTTTCTGAAGGTAATAAAACAAAAAGTATGAAATTTGATGGAAAATTGATGAAATTACACTATCACAAATTTTGCTGTGTTGGCAATATTTAGGCATTGGTGATTTTGCCCACTTAGTCCTATTTTAGTTGACCAAATTCTTAGCTATTTTGCTAGTGTGCCTTCTATTTTATCAGTGGATCACAAAAAACTGCCCAATCAGCTATTTCAACTATCCAATAAAGTCCTCAAAAATTGGTAATTTGGCCAGTTTCACACAAATTTCAAAACATCCCAGTTTCAAAATACTGTCTAGAATAAACAATGCAGGCATTCCTGGCACTGAAATAGCATTTCCTCTGTTCATTAATTATGTTTCTAGGCTTTACACATGAATTCCATTTTGATTTTTTATTCACAAAGAATTTTTGCATGGTTTTTATGGTTATATTCACTTTTTTTTTTGTCTCATTTGATAGAATGGAAGATAGAGTACAAATATAGAGATGATTTTGATTAGTTTTAGGATTGAACATTTCAGCTACTTTGAGCTCAATTTCAAGCTATTTTCAGCCTTAAACCAATCAAAATCATGTCTGTATCTGTACTGTAACTTCCATTCTGTCAATGAGACCAAGAAACCATGAAAACAATTATAAAACCATGGAAAAATACGCCACAAAGTTGATGTTTTAACACTTTGAGGGTCCGTCCACGGTCCAAGAATTAAAAAAAAAAATTTTCTTATGAAATGGTAGAGAATCTTTCTCTGAAGGTAATAAAACAAAAAGTATGAAATTTGATGGAAAATTGACGAAATTACATCATGAATTTTGCTGCGTTGGTGATATTTATGCATCGTTGATTTTTGTTCACTTTGACTCCTATTTTAGGCCAATTACGTTATTCCAGTCGACCAAATTCTTAGCTATTTCGCTAGTATCACTTCCGTTTTATCGATTGAGCACAAGAACCTGCCCAGTCGTCTATTTCAACTACCCAATAAAGTAATTAAAAATTAGTAATTTGGCCAATTTCACACAAAGTTCAAAATAGGGTCCAGAATAAACAGTGCAGGCATTCTTGGCACTAAAATAACATTTCCTCTGTTTATTAGTTACATTTCCAGGCTTTACAGATGAATTTCATATTGATTTTTCATTCACATAAAGGATTTTTATCCACACCAAAAAATAGAAGATTTACTGTTATGCAATATTGTAATAAATAATATCAACACATTCATGAATGTACATTATACCCACCAGTTGATGTGATTTGTTTACTCTTGACCGTCGCCAAAAATTGAACGTTTCTGCTACTTCGAGCTCAGTTTCAAGCTATTTTCAGTACTAATACCAATCAAAATCATTCTATTTCTGTAATGTCTTCCATTCTATCAAATGAGACCAAGAAACTGCAAATATAACCGTAAAAAACCATACAAAAATACACTGCAAAGTCACTGTTTTAACCCTTTTACTGTCGAGAGCCCCTGCTCACAAACTTACTCTCAGTGTCAAAGAATTTAAAAAAAAAAAATTCTTATGAAACGATAGAGAAACTTTTCCTGATGGTATTGACACCAAAAGTACAAAATTCGATGGAAAGCTTACAGAATTATGTTCTTACAAATTTAGTGGTCTTGGTGATATTTATGCATTGGTGATTTTGCCTCCTTTGAGCCCTATTTTCAGCCAATTCCATTGTTACAGTTGACCAAACGCATGGCTATTTTGCTAGAACTCATTTTGTTCTATCAATTGAGTACAAGAAACTGCCCATTTACCGATTTCAACTACCCAATAAAGTAATCAGAAATTGGAAATTTGGCCAATTTCATACACAATTCAAGGAAGGCCCATTTCAAAATAGGGTCCAGAAAATGCAAACATTCCTAGCACGAAAGTAACATTTTCTCTCTTCATTAGTCATATCTCCAGGCCCCTTTTATATTATGCTTGCTTTCCATTTTGAATTTTTATTCACACAGTTTGTAAACCATGTAGAATCATATCTAGTTCTGTAATATATCTTCCATTCTATCAGATAAGACTAAGAAAATGAGAATACAATCATAAATACCATACGAAAATACACCGCAAAGTCAGTTTTAAATGAAACACATGATCGGAGTTTCTTTTTTCCTCATGCACTGTATGCCGCAGGATTTTTTTTTATACTGTGTGCACTGACCGCTCAGACCCATTCTCTCATATGTAAGCCTACCAGCTTTCTCCCATAAGATTTGAAGTTGCTAGAATTTTGGTGTACTATTACGGGACCAACACTGGCTTGCAAGCCGTAATATTATGGGACCGACAGTGAAAGGGTTAATCCAAAAATAGGATTACAGTTTCCTTTTTTTCATTTGGCACTGTGTACTGCAGGATTTGTTTTATAAGGTGCACACTTATCACGTAGATGCATTCTCTCATGTCTAGGCCCAGGTTTACCGTTCACAGCTTATCTGAGTGAGCTGAACTCATGACGTAGTTCTACATCTTGGACCCTGGCTTCAAAGCCATAGAACTATGGGATGGACCCAGAAAGTGTTAGCACTGTGTAAGCAGTGATTCTTGGTATTTAAGACACCACATTTCTGCATTGTGCAGTAAATTAAAATTTTAGAGAAGGATTTTAAGTTTTACAATTGACACATCCATACTATGAAGAATTCGGGGTGACTTTTACCGTCAATAATAGGTGTAGGTTGGTAGACAGCAACCACCCAGGGAAGTACTACCATCCTGCCAGATGACTGTGAAACAGAAACCTGTAACTGTTTTGCATGATGGTAGCATTGCTGGTGTCTTTTTCTGTCTCATAAACACGCTAGATAACAGGGATATCTTGCTACTCCAACTTACACTTTAGTCACACTTCACAGACATGCACATGCATATATACATATATATATACATACATCTAGGTTTTTCTCCTTTTTCTACATAGCTCTTGTTCTTTATTTCTTCTATTGTCCATGGGGAAGTGGAAAAGAATCTTTCCTCCGTAAGCCATGCGTGTCGTATGAGGCGACTAAAATGCCGGGAGCAATGGTCTAGTAACCCCTTCTCTTGTAGACATTTACTAAAAAAGAGAAGAAGAAAAACTTTATAAAACTGGGATGCTTGAATGTGCGTGGATGTAGGGGCAGATGACAAGAAACAGATGATTGCTGATGTTATGAATGAAAAGAAGTTGGATGTCCTGGCCCTAAGCGAAACAAAGCTGAAGGGGGTAGGGGAGTTTCGGTGGGGGGAAATAAATGCAATTAAATCTGGAGTATCTGAGAGAGTTAGAGCAAAGGAAGGGGTAGCAGTAATGTTGGAATGATCAGTTATGGAAGGAGAAAAGAGAATATGAATGTGTAAATTCAAGAATTATGTGGATTAAAGTAAAGGTTGGATGCGAGAAGTGGGTCATAATAAGCGTGTATGCACCTGGAGAAGAGAGGAATGCAGAGGGGAGAGAGAGTTTTTGGGGAGATGTTAAGTGAATGTATAGGAGCCTTTGAACCAAGTGAGAGAGTAATTGTGGTAGGGGACCTGAATGCTAAAGTAGGAGAAACTTTTAGAGAGGGTGTGGTAGGTAAGTTTGGGGTGCCAGGTGTAAATGATAATGGGAGCCCTTTGATTGAAATTTGTATAGAAAGGGGTTTAGTTATAGGTAATACATATTTTAGAAAAAGAGGATAAATAAGTATACAAGATATGATGTAGGGCGAAATGACAGTAGTTTGTTGGATTATGTATTGGTAGATAAAAGACTGTTGAGTCGACTTCAGGATGTACATGTTTATAGAGGGGCCACAGATATATCAGATCACTTTCTAGTTGTAGCTACACTGAGAGTAAAAGGTAGATGGGATACAAGGAGAATAGAAGCATCAGGGAAGAGAGAGGTGAAGGTTTATAAACTAAAAGAGGAGGCAGTTAGGGAAAGATATAAACAGCTATTGGAGGATAGATGGGCTAATGAGAGCATAGGCAATGGGGTCAAAGAGTATGGGGTAGGTTTAAAAATGTAGTGTTAGAGTGTTCAGCAGAAGTTTGTGGTTACAGGAAAGTGGGTGCGGGAGGGAAGAGGAGCGATTGGTGGAATGATGATGTAAAGAGAGTAGTAAGGGAGAAAAAAGTTAGCATATGAGAAATTTTTACAAAGTAGAAGTGATGCAAGGAGGGAAGAGTATATGGAGAAAAAGAGGAGAGGTTAAGAGAGTGGTGAAGCAATGTAAAAAGAGAGCAAATGAGAGAGTGGGTGAGATGTTATCAACAAATTTTGTTGAAAATAAGAAAAAGTTTTGGAGTGAGATTAACAAGTTAAGGAAGCCTAGAGAACAAATGGATTTGTCAGTTAAAAATAGGAGAGGAGAGTTATTAAATGGAGAGTTAGAGGTATTGGGAAGATGGAGGGAATATTTTGAGGAATTGTTAAATGTTGATGAAGATAGGGAAGCTGTGATTTCGTGTATAGGGCAAGGAGGAATAACATCTTGTAGGAGTGAGGAAGAGCCAGTTGTGAGTGTGGGGCAAGTGCGTGAGGCAGTAGGTAAAATGAAAGGGGGCTAAGGCAGCCGGGATTGATGGGATAAAGATAGAAATGTTAAAAGCAGGTGGGGATATAGTTTTGGAGTGGTTGGTGCAATTATTTATTAAATGTATGGAAGAGGGTAAGGTACCTAGGGATTGGCAGAGAGCATGCATAGTTCCTTTGTATAAAGGCAAAGGGGACAAAAGAGAGTGCAAAAATTATAGGGGGATAAGTCTGTTGAGTATACCTGGTAAAGTGTATGGTAGAGATTATTATTGAAAGAATTAAAAGTAAGACGGAGAATAGGATAGCAGATGAACAAGGAGGCTTTAGGAAAGGTAGGGGGTGTGGGACCAGGTGTTTTACAGTGAAACATATAAGTGAACAGTATTTAGATAAGGCTAAAGAGGTCTTTGTGGCATTTATGGATTTGGAAAAGGCGTATGACAGGGTGGATAGGGGGGCAATGTGGCAGATGTTGCAGGTGTATGGTGTAGGAGGTAGGTTACTGAAAGCAGTGAAGAGTTTTTACGAGGATAGTGAGGCTCAAGTTAGAGTACATACGAAAGAGGGAAATTATTTCCCAGTAAAAATAGGCCTTAGACAAGGATGTGTGATGTCACCGTGGTTGTTTAATATATTTATAGATGGGGTTGTAAGAGAAGTAAATGCGAGGGTCTTGACAAGAGGCGTGGAGTTAAAAGATAAAGAATCACACATAAAGTGGGAGTTGTCACAGTTGCTCTTTGCTGATGACACTGTGCTCTTGGGAGATTCTGAGAGAAGTTGCAGAGATTGGTGGATGAATTTGGTAGGGTGTGCAAAAGAAGAAAATTAAAAGTGAATACAGGAAAGAGTAAGGTTATGAGGATAAAAAATATTAGGATGATGAAAGATTGGATATCAGATTGGAGGGAGAGAGTATGGAGGAGGTGAATGTTTCAGATATTTGGGAATGGACGTGTCAGGGATGGGTCTATGAAGGATGAGGTGAATCATAGAATTGATGAGGGGAAAAGGGTGAGTAGTGGTGCACTTAGGAGTCTGTAGAGACAAAGAACTTTGTCCTTGGAGGCAAAGAGGGGAATGTATGAGAGTTAGTTTTACCAACACTTATATGGGTGTGAAGCATGGGTGATGAATGTTGCAGCGAGGAGAAGGCTGGAGGCAGTGGAGATGTCATGTCTGAGGGCAATGTGTAGTGTGAATATAATGCAGAGAATTCGTAGTTTGGAAGTTAGGAGGAGGTGCGGGATTACCAAAACTGTTGTCCAGAGGGCTGAGGAAGGGTTGTTGAGGTGGTTCGGACATGTAGAGAGAATGGAGCGAAACCATGACTTCAAGAGTGTATCTGTCTGTAGTAGAAGGAAGGCGGGGTAGGGGTCGGCCTAGGAAAGGTTGGAGGGAGGGGGTGAAGGAGGTTTTGTGTGCGAGGGGCTTGGACTTCCAGCAGGCGTGCGTGAGCGTGTTTGATAGGAGTGAATGGAGATGAATGGTTTTAATACTTGACGTGCTGTTGGAGTGTGAGCAAAGTAACATTTATGAAGGGGTTCAGGGAAACTGGCAGGCCGGACTTGAGTCCTGGAGATGGGAAGTACAGTGCCTGCACTCTGAAGGAAGGGTGTTAATGTTGCAGTTTAAAAACTGTAGTGTAAAGCACCCTTCCGGCAAGAGTGATGGAGTGAATTATGGTGAAAGTTTTTCTTTTTCGGGCCACCCTGCCTTGGTGGGAATCGGCCAGTGTGATAATAATAATAATAGGTGTTTATAATAAATTGTATGGGTGATCATGGATTGATATTCATCTAAATTTCAGCCTACCTGACTAGATAGAGATATTGCTTAACCCTTTGACTGTTTTCGACGTATAAATACGTCTTACGAGCCAATGTTTCTGACGTATATATACTCAATAATTCTAGCGGCTTCAAATCAAGTGGGAGAAAGCTGGTAGGCCCACATGTGAGAGAATGGGTCTGTGTGGTCAGTGTGCACCACATAAAAATCCTGCAGCACACATTGCGTAATGAGAAAAAAAAAACTGATCGTTTTTTTGGAATAAAACGCCGACTTTGAGGTGTATTTTCGTATAGTATTTATCGTTGTATTCGCGTTTTCATGGTCTTAGGTGATAAAATGGACAACATATTACAGAAATAGAGATGATTTTCATTACTTTTACGATGAAAACGCCCTTGAAATGAGCTCAAAGTAGGGGGTTTGGGGTTTTCTTTTTACCAATGTTCAAGGTAATAATCACCACGTCAATTTACACGTCAACTGGGGATTTCTAATATTCTTTCACTAGTTCTTTTTGGATATTATTTATACCATTTTTACAAAATGTCTCTGCATAACAGTAAATTTTGTATTTTTTTTGTATCTGGAGTTTATCTGGAGAGATTTCCCGGGGTCAACGCCCCGCGGCCGGTCTGTGACAGGCCTCTTAGGTCAGGTCCCAGGATGCGACCCACACCATGTCGAAACCCCCCAGGTCCCAATTTACTGATGGGGAAACATAGCAACTAGGTGGAAGAACACGTCCAATGTTTCTACTTGGGGGGAAAATCGACCAGTGCCCTCCCGTGTGAAGCGAAGCTTAACCACCAGGCCACCAGAGGGGCCTAGAGATGTGACTAATGAACAGAGCATATGTTATTTTAGTGCCACGAATGTCTACCTTGTTTATTCTGGACCCTATTTTGAAATTGGCATCTTTTTATTTTGCGTGAAATTGGCCAAATTGCCAATTTCTGACCACCATATTGGGTAGTCCAAATTAGTAAATGGGAGGTTTCTTGTACTCAGCTGATAGATAAAATGGAGTTCTAAAGAAATAGCTATGAGTTTGGTCAACTGAAACAATGGAATTGGCTGAAAATTGGGCTCAAAGTCGGCGAAATCGCCGATACGCATATGTCGCCGAGACCGCTAACTTCGCGGGAGCATAATTCCACGAGTTTTCGACCAAATTTCGAACATTTGGTGTCATTACCATCGGGAAAAGATTCTCTATCATTTCATAAGAAAAAATAATTTTTTTTTTTTTTTCAAAAATTGAGCGACATAGAATGACAGTTTCAGAGAGGGGCCTGAAACAGTCAAAGGGTTAAATTGATGTGTATTGCTTGTGGGCAAAACATGACATAAATCTAGTCAAAGGTTACAAACATTGTGATGGGTTTACTGACATTCTCCAGCAACTAATCTAGAAATAAGAGAAATTTTTAGACAAATGGGAAGCCTTGAAACCAACCACATGTATGACATTTTGCTAGCCCTCTAATTTGTGGTAGTTGTAAAGAGCATGTATAATTTCAGACTATTTGGTCAAATTTTGCATTTGAGATTTGTTATATGTAAGCCATAAATTGTTAATTGAAGATTATTTATGCACCATGAATCTTGATACTCTTGGTGGTGCTGCTACATTGTATTTTCATATTTATTTCAGGACTTTGACAAAGTTGCTGGTCTGCAGGTGACACAGCCCATCCCATCTTCCTATGGTGGCAGGCGATAGATTTAAATAAATGTATAAAGTAAATACTGCTGTTCATTAAACAAAAACTTCCTTATTTTCTTCCTCTCAACTTTCCATTTGTCAGTCACTCCTAGCCTCATAGGCTCTATTGTACCTACTCTTAAACTGTATGGAATCTGCCTCTACCATTTTATTGTCATTCCACTTCTTGACCACTTACACTGAAGACATACAGTAGAACCCTCGTATCCATTGATTTGGTATGTGCAGTTTCAGTTATCCACAGTTTATTGTGGCCAAAAAATACCTCTTAATTTTGCGAAATAATGGTCCCAACACGCGAAAGTAGAGCAGCTGGCAGTTCTTCAAAGCCCAAGAGAAGCTGTGAAGTGCTTCCTGTCAGTGAAAAAGTGGTAATTCTCCACTTCTTGTGCATAATTTATTAATTGAACTCTATAATAGGTATGTATAGAACATAGAGTTCACTACTATCCATGGTATCGGTATCCATGGCAGGTCCTTGGAATGTATCTCCCGTGGATATGGGGGTTCTACTGTACTTCTTGATATACCTGTGACTCATTCATGTCTAACTTCCTGCTGTGCCCTGGTCCTGTCCAGCGTCGTTATTTAGTTCCTTTAACCTCACTTAATAGCTTATACCCCTTAGCTCTGGAACTAGTCTTATTGCATATTTCTGCACTTTATCCTGTTTAACATGCTTCCTCAGGTGTGTACCATATTGGTGCTGTGTACTCTAAGACGGGCCTGACAAATGTTGAATAAAACACCCAGAATGATTTGAAATTCCTGAAGGTGCCTCTAAGATTTACCAAGTGAGCATTGGCTGCAAAGATTATTCTATATGCGAACCTTTGGCAATATGCTTGCTCTCGGGTTCTCTAAATGAGGTTGCAGCTTCTGTTTCCAGAGTCTATACTCCATTTCTAGCTTTCTGGGCCCTTCCCTAATCTTTATAACCTAGCATTTGCTGGGGCTGAATTAAAAATTATTTGATCAACCCTGTAGTTTGTCCAGATTCATTTGAAGCCTTTCTCTATCCTCATATATTCTGTACAACCGGGTTTAGTGCTTAGTTATGATTATATTATATTCTTTAGTTTATCTGTCCTATCTGGTTTGTCATTCACAAACCAGAAATAGTACTTGCCCTAATAACAATCCTTGCACCCAGCTCCCCTCTAACATTTGTTCCCAATCTGCATCCTTTCCCCAAGGTACTCTAATCCAGAGTACATGCCTGCTGCTCATTTTAACTATAATGAGCAGCAGTGGAGTGGAGTTCTGTATCTTCGGAATTCTGTATCAAATAACTTGGTTTTAAAAAAATGTAGGCCTAAGGTCCTGTAGCACAATCTGCACAATTCTTCAGTCAATCCTTGAACTACAAATATTTTAAAGTATGGTACTGTGGCTGGGCTTTTACACACTTTACACAAGCTGTTGCATGTGTGTAAATTGTATAAACTAAATACTAAATCCACCAGGGTTATACAGTGCTGCAAAGTAGGGTGTGTGAACTGTGTAATATGCTTGATATGAAACTAGTGAGGGTGGAGAGTATAATAGGGGTAGAGTTTGTAAGTGTGGTGAGTGCTAAAGGAGGTATAATCAAAGGTTGTGTAATAAATCTGTTGCTCTCAAAAAGCCAGTGAATGAGTTTGTGTCAAAGATGGGGCTGTCAGCTAGGAGGGAAGATAAAGTTAAGGTGTTATAGCAGTGAAGTCTGAGGTAAATTCTGCATGCTTGCTGATAAAGGACAGTCCAATGGAACATGGGAAACCGAAATTGGGACCTGACAATTCGTAGAGTGGAACTGGGCGCCTCTCCATGATATACTGTACCCCTGAGACGTGTGTGCCTGATGCGAGGACAGGAAAATGTAGTCTTCCCAACTACAACATCGATGATAAGACCATTATTATTATTATTATTATAATCACAGGGAAGCACTAAACCCATAGGATTATACAGCACACATGGGGGGATGGAAGGTATTCAGGCTCAATTGAGGGAACTGGAGCACAGATCCAATTCCCTAGATCAAGAGCCCCTCACCAGGGGATAAGAAGACCAGGATCCTAAACTCGGCTTGATAGAATGTAATTTGTTATGAATTAACTTGGAGCAGGGTTATTGCAGAGGTGGCTAGAGATTACAGCAAAATAGTCTGAGAGTGGGAAGTCTTATGAAACTGGAAGGTCGTGTATGTACCCCTGACTGTGCAGCAAAGTCCACCTGCTTGTTGCCCTGAATATCATGACCAGGGACCCAACATTTTTTTGTTTTTTCTGGAAATGCGGTGCAACCAAAGTTATACATGAAGAACTAGGGGCTGAGGGGAATTAAATTTTTGATAGCTTGCACAGCAATAAAGTCTGAGACTACCACAAATGTTGAGGTAGGCCTGGACACAATAGGGATAATTGCTATGAAAATTGCACAGTTCAGGGACAAAAATGCTAGCCGAGTCTAATAAATAATCTTGCCCAACACTGTCTGGGAGCACTGATGTATGCCCGGTACCATCAGAAGATTTAGAACCATCAGTGTAAACTGCAACAGAATGAGATTGGAAGTAGTCAAGGAGTGAGAAGCAACTGTAGATATTTGAGCTTTTGCACACAGCATTGGGGAAAACAGACTCGAACTGTCAGAGCTTTTCCCCTTCCAAGGGGGAACCCCTAAAGGGAGGTTCCTTGATGCTGGTGAGGGGCTCTTGATCTTGATTTTTCAGGCACTGTATGACCTTACAAGTTAAAATTATTACACTTGTGGGAAAAAGCTTAAGCTGAACTTCAGCTGCGTCACCTTGTGAGTTTTTTCTTCTCGATAGTATGCCTTGTGTTCAGTGACATACGGGGCGGGGGGAGGGGAGATTGGAATTGTGTAAAAAAAGAATGCCCCTTCCTTGGATTAAAGTATGTATAGTTACAGCAGGGCCCCGCTTTACGGCGTTCCGCTAATACGGTCATTTCAAATTATGACAAACTCGCTATACGGCTCCCCCCACCTGACTTTCTAATATGGTCACCGCGCCCCACCCTGTTTGTTTTACATCTTCGGAGCTCAGTAAGCCACTAAGTCCTCTCATTTTGTCTGGAAACTCCAAAATTTCAAATGCTTTTAAAAGTTATTTCATATTTTATATATACTCTGATAATTATACTTATGTATACCTGTACTTAAATAAACTTACATACTGTGCTGGCATGCAGGTACAAACATTAAAATCAGTAAGAATGTCTTAATGTCCTCCCAGACGTCATATGTCGTAATGATATAATCATCGAGTACTCATTTAAATGTCGTATATACGATTAAATACACATTTTCATTAATCCATCTATGATATTTTTTTCAAAATTATATAATAAACACGATACATAACATAAGATATAAATACACCCCAACAAATAGAATAAATAAACATAAATATGAGATGTGGTAGCAGGACGACTGCACAAGTGACGCCCATATTAGAATGATGATAATAATAATAATAATAATAAATAATAATCATCACCGAGTCCATTAAATGTTGTATATTAACGTTAATAAACACATTTTCCATTAATTAATCCATGATAGTTTTTTCCATAATGTATATAATAAACACGATACATAACATAAAAAAGATGATAAATTCACCCTACAAAAGAATAAATAAACATAAATAGAGATTGTGGTAGCCAGATAACTTGTACAAGTGATGGGCAAGAATAACATTTTCTCCGTCATCTATACATAAGAGAAAATTGTGTTAGCTGGGGGTAACTGTAGAAAATTATTCTTTCGTAATGTATGGTAAGTTTATTCAGGTATACACAAATACAGTTACATAGATTATCATACATATCAATAAGTTAGAGAACCTAGGATAACCCAAAAAATCAGAGTGGACTTTATTTCCATTGCCTTCATTCAGAGCATCATTCTTCTTCAAAATATTTTCATGAGAATGGGAGTGTTCCATATTTTAATTCCCTTATCTACCGTAACAATGGTAGAGACAACCTGTAACACAATGTAACTTGTACACAAACCAGACGTGTACAACTTTTGTTTACACAAAACACTACATCTCTTCAAGGCAACTCCCATTCATTCCTCTCAAAAAATTTATTCGTTTTTAATCTCATTTACTTACTCCTGACCCTACATTAAGACTACAAATATTTTAATGGAAGTATTGAGTGAACTGTATTACATTTTATCGCTCAGGGATCTTAAATGTAATAGAATATTATGTTTGTAGGGTGTGGTTGCCTGTAAGGTAAGCCCGACTTGGCTACCCAACATACTACACTTGATTTTTTACAATAAATACTACTCATCTCACCCTATATTTTAAGGTAAGTAATGAGTGAACTGTATATACATTTTATCGCTCTGGGATGCTTAAATATCATAGAATTGTATGTGTGGGTGGGGTGGCCTGGTATGGTATTATTATTATAATCAAAAAGAAGCGCTAAGCCACAAGGACTATACAGCACCTGGTATGGTAGCCTGGCTGACTACCATACATGCCACACTTGATTTCTTACAATAAATACTACTTGTCTCACCCTAGATTAAGACTAAATATTTGTTAAGGTAAGTAATGAGTGCACTATGTGTGTATTGTACTTTTTTATTGTTTTTTGATGCCTGGTTCTATTGCTAACTTAATATATGTTAGTGTAAACTTGTTATCTAGTGTTTGTATGCATTTGTAAGTGGGAAAAAAAGGGTGTTCCACTTTACGGTGGTAGCCTGGAACCTAACCACCATAAAAGTGGGCCTTCTGTATATACCAATCCTGTACTCCTTAAAAATCTTCTGTACTTTTTAAACTTGAATTCATTACGGTTATAATGTCCCCTCAGTGAAGGTTTTTTCCTTGAAGTTGAGAGGGGCTCTTGATTTAGGGAATTGGATCCTGTGCCCATTATTATTAAATCAAAAAGAAGCGCTAAGCCACAAGTACTGATACAGCGCTGCAGGGCGGGGGAGGAAGGAGCGAGGGCATCAGGGGCGAAAGGAGATGGATGAGCAAC